GTTGTGAAGCACTTCCAATACGGTCTGCCCATATTCCTTTCAGATTTGGAAATTAGCATAACCATCTCAGCATTGCAGTGCCGACAACTCTTTCCTTGAGTGTTTGTTGAAGAATTCGTGAAAAGGAATGGTATTTTATTTTTTGGGGAGAACTAATATGGAGTTTCAAGTTTGAATTGTCCTGTTTTGGTCGTAACAATTAGTGATTGTGAGATGCAAATTCAAAATTTACAGGAATGTTTTTTTTTTGTTAACCCTAACCCATGAGCGGGAAAGAAAAGCATTGGTTTAATATTTTTTAACCCTAAGCATTCGACAGTAAACCCTAAACCGTAGGCGGCAAGCCCCTACACCCTTGAAGTCGTTTAAAAATTGAATATTTAAGTGGAAACGATTAGAAAATAGAAAAACTGGCGAGTGGCGGCATAGGAATGCGCCGCGTGGCAGTCAGGCTTGCAGCTCCCCCTCCAGCGCCTCCACTTGGCATTTCTTGTATATTTTATTCAGTTTATTTCCGAAAAATTGTTAAAAATGCAGGAAAATTAAGGAAAAAATTGGGGAATTTCCTAACTGTGTGCGGGGATGAATACTTCATACAGAAAGTACAAACCCTAGTTTAGGAGCGAGTGAAAAATAAAATTTGGGAACCAACCCTACATTCGGATGATGCAAATGAAAACCCTAATACACTTAGTAAACCCCACACTCTCATATGTTCGATCACATTAATCCCGTATCCAAATTTATTTGTCCTGCCCTTTTTCTGGATATGTCATCGAAGGAAATCTCGTCTCGATCGCTGAGGAATTTTTCAGGATTTTTTCACTGTCAATTTCGATTTTTAATTGAATATTTAAGTGGAAACGATTAAAAAATATATTAACTGGCATGTGGGGGCGCGCCACGTGGCGGTCAGGCTTGCAGCTCTCCACTCCAGCGCCTCCACTTGGCATTTCTTGTATATTTTATTCAGTTTTTTTTCCCAAAAATCGTTAAAAATGCATGAAAATTACGGAAAACATTGGGAAATTTCCTAACTCTGTGTGGAGATGAATACTTCATGAGGAGTTTTGGGTTAATAGTTGGCAAAATGTTTTTTGTGGAAATTGATATGTAATTCTTTATGTTAGTGAAAAGGGATTTCCGTACTATGGGATTCAATTTTTTTTTTTTTGGTGCAG